CAGCCCCTGGCAGCGCGTGGTGCCCGTCTGGACCTTGGCTGCCTCCATGAGCCGTGGTTCTACAAGATCCGTGGGCTTTGGCAGTCACCGAGTCAGATCAGACATTACTGCCGCGCTCGCTGGTTCTCTGCTCATCCCTACCTCTGCCAAGGGACAAGTTTTTCCTAAAAAGAGGCCTCGAAAAGCTAAAGACAGACAAGGAACGAGCACGGGGACAGCTCTTCACCCTTACTGCAGAACTTGGCTGCCTCTCATCCAAAGGTGCCGGTCGGGAGGTGCCAGGCAGGCAGCTGCCTACGAGCCAGAGCTCCGGGCTCAGCTGGCGATCTCTGGTGCCGGTGTCTGCCCTGCGACGGCACCGAACAGTCACATCCACCTTGGGAAAGAGGGAAGGATGAGTATTCCGTTCACTAAAAGGCTATTTCACAACCACGCACCGTCTCTTTTGGATTTGCTTTCTTACTGGGGTGAAGTCTCATGCTTTGGGAGCGCTGGGTGCCCGCAGACCGAGCGTCCTCTCCCAGGGCTCCCGCAGAGCCGGGGATGCCATCGCTGTCTGCGGTTCTCCCAGGCTGCTGGGCCAAGGGGAGAGGGCGGCTCAGTCTACGGCTCCTCCAGCCCAGGGCACCAGGCGGTGCCCGCTGCCATGGGCACTTGCCGTGACATGGCACCCGGCACCGAGCTCTGCGTGGGGACCCTCACCTGCTTTCCCACGGGCTGCCAAAGAGTCCTCCAAAGACGAGGAGTTGGGGTCACTGCCTGCCTGGGCTGGCTCCAGCTGCAGCCAAGAGATGGGGGGTCTGGGCACGGTGGCTCCTGAGCCTCCAGCACATCCCACCCCTCTCTCGCTCCTCTCTCCTACCACTGGCACAGACGGGGCTGTTCCCTATCCCACCTCACCCTCAGAAATTCTCACTTCCCGTTATTCTGAAACTGATATTTGGCTCAGAGCAAACACCAAGAGGAGCAAAAGCCCCGGATAAGAAATCTGTATCTCCGTGACACTGCTGGTTGAATTTATTAATATCTTAATTATTTTTTTTTTTACATCCGTTTAAGAAATATTTTTTAAAAAAAGGACAAAACCCTCCAAAGAAGCTGTTTGATTGGCTGATTGATTCTCTATTTCATGTGAACTAGTCGCTATTCTGCTTAGAGGTCCCTATGATCTGTGACTCCTCACAAGTACTGACGATTAAGGATGCAGAGAAGCGTGGAGCTGGGGGGGACGAACACCAGGGGAGGGGGGGGATGGAGAACCGAATGTCGCATCTAGACAAACAAAATAAAATGTGTTGGTTGGTCGATCGGTTGGTTTGTTATCAGGAATCAGGTGCTAGATGTGTAGAAAAGCCCTTTATCCAGAGATCTCCTCCCGCTGTTCCTTGTTCCTGCGGACTTCGGCTGCGTGCAGTTCCTGCAAAGACGGGAAAGACGACACCAGACTAACACTTTCTGCTCTTGCAATCTCTGTTTTCCTCCTCTCCTGCACAAGGATTTACATCAGATAAAAGGAAAGAGACCGGTTTCCCATCGGACACGTGCCAGGGACGGTGGGTTACTCCTGCAAGGAGCAAAGCGTCTCATCTGTGCAGGTGCAGAGGTGATGCAAACCTACAGCTCCTCTCTTCTGCAAAGCCCTTTGGCCACGGAGCCCCTGGATGTGGAATGGGCCAAATCCTGCACCTCTGAGCTTCTCAAAATCAGCCAGGCGGTATTTTCTGTACCAACCTGGGAGGCCACATCCCCCCTCCTCGCCCTGTTCCGGAGCAGAGATGCTCCACAGCCCACCTTCCACCAGCAACGAAACACCCGCACCCCTGCGCCCATCACCCTGGGACGACTCTACAGGGACCAAACCCCAACCCCCCCACCATGGGCGTCAGCACCCAGCCCCCTCCCGGGACACGGCACTCGCCTTCTCACGGAGCCGCTCCCTCAAGGCGGCGAGATGTGCTTCGCGGATCTCCCTGCTCAGCTCCATCTTGTAGTTGAGCTTCTCCTCGGCCAAGCGGCTGAAGTTGTTGTTCTCCTCCAGCGCCTTGTGCAGCACCTCCCGCTCGTGCTCCCGCTTCTCCGCCAGCTGCTTCAGCACCTGAGCCTCCTGGGTCTGCCCAGGCAGGTGGTGGGAGAGGCACATAAGGCAACCGGAGAGCCTCTTCCAGCCTCCAACTCCCCGGAGAGGCTTTCTGACCATCTCTGCTCAGCACCCCTCTGCCACCCCTCTCCATCCCATAACGCTCTTGCTTGGAAGACGCTTTGGCACCTTTTTCCCTGCTACGGGGCGATGTCTGCGGGGCGCGGTGCTGCAGGCGGGCGATGCAACGCTGCGCCCACCGGCTCCGCAAAGCACGGGTGACGTGCATCGGGAGGCAGAGTCCCCTCTCCGAGTGTCACCTTGTTCTTTGCATTATTCCAGCGTGCCCTCCCAGTACCCACCAACCTTCCCAACGTTTATACTTTTCCTCTGCCCGATTTCTCCTTTCCAACAGTTTTCCCCAGAAGCCATTTTCCAGGCCATGCACAATAAAACATGGGAAATAGCACAGCCAGCTGCTAGGAACACAAGGCTGGGTTTAGGTTTGAAGTTTAGGTGTGGTGTGTGACCCACTGCTACATCTCCTGCAGCATTAGCTGGCGAGAAGTGACCCCCCCTCCCCAACCAGGTCACACACAGAGGACCGAGAGGACCCCACACTGTGTGGGTTTAAGATCAGGAGGATGATGATGATGATCAAGTCCAATTCCCTGCCAAAACCAGGCTGCAGAACCTCACTCCGTGACTCCCATGTCTCACCTGACAATACATAGGAGAATATAATAAGTGTAGGAACACTATTTCCAGCCATTTTCCATTGCTCCTGCTAAGCCTGTTTTAGGGTTTGGTGCCATTAGTACCTGTCACAGAAAAGTCACTGCTTCTACAGGGCATCTCGTTACCTTCCTCCTCTCCTCTGCAGCCTCCAGCCTCCTCTGCAGCTCCTCCAGGGACAGGTCCTTCTTCTTGGGGGGGGAGGAAAGGATCGGGCTCTCAGGAGATAAATCTGAAGGGGACTTCAGGATCACCTCGAAGCTCTGGCCTGATGCCCTCTTATCCAGCTGCTTCACCTCCATATCTTTGTGGGGGGGAAAAGACAAATGAGGAGCCCTGTGGACCTGTGACACTCACTCACCTGAGGGCACCGAGCTCTTCACGTAGGAGTTAGGGTGTTCCCATGTCCTGACCTGGGTCATTTTGTTCTGCCTCCTAAATTTCCCCATTAGTGATCAGCTTCATCGCCCCCCAAGTCGATGCAATTAATTTAAATTCACCGCGTAATTGCCGTGTTACCACGGCACACATCACCCCAGGACGAAGCAGACAGCCTCTGCAAGCACCTTTTTTCTGGGAAAACTTGGGTTGCATTAATAAAATAAACTGTGAAAGAGATTAAACAGAGAGAGCCGGGGTTGAGGCACGGATTGCTGCTCCGGGCTGGGACAGCCCAGCGCGCCGACAGGCTCCCACGTTGCCTGCAGCAGCATCACACAACTGATGCTGCAGCTTCTGGGAGCGGGTCACGTACCTCCATACTGGTAGATGGTGTTGGGATGCGGCTGGGTGTGGAAACAGGAGCAGATGAGGGAGAGCAGAGACAGCTCCTTCATTTTCTCCTTGTAGGCTGAAAAATATGAAATAGGAATGAGAAGAGAGTCCAAGGGCAACGGCAGCTCTTTTTCATGGAGAAAAGAAGCAAGTAGGCACAAGAAAACCCATTTCTAGCTACCAGACTCTACGGAGGCTTTTCCAGGCTGCCATAACTTGCCCAAAAGTCGTCAAGGACCGTCTGTCCTAGAGCAGACTAAATTAGCTGCCAGCGCCGCAAACACCGTGGGAAGACACACAGCAGGCATTGAGCACCAAGGGTTAAGTTTCCGTGGAGGATTTTCCCTCCAAAGGAGCTGAGACGCTGCAGCCCATGTAGTTAACCACGCCAGGACATGTAGTTAACCATGTCGGGACAGCTGCCCAGACCCTTTCTCCATTCCACTTCCAGGCTCAGAGGTAAAATGATGCCCATCAACACCTGGAACGTTGCTCACCCCCTGGCAAGTTCCCAATACTTCACAAATCAGCATTTCTGGGTGAAGAGGCAAGGTGTGAGCAGCAATGGGGAGAAAAAATGGGCATTTGAGAGCAGAAATGGTTCAGGGGGGCTGGTCATGGGGGGAAGTGCTGTAACCTGACTTCCAAAGGTGCCTCCTTCACTGCAGATGCAGGTAAGGGAGGGTGCAAGTGGATTCTGTCATCGCTTGGCCCACGTAGGCAGAGGTTGCTACTGGTCGGCAGTCACAGCAAATGCTGTCCCCTGCAAAGGACAGGGAAATACACAATCCCTTCGAGCTCTGCTGCTGGGAAACCTCTGCTTTGCCCGACATTCCTGTGACTGCAGGACACTCCGCAGCATCCTCAGCCATCACAAGTGCACAAGGTGCTGCCCTAACCACGGCAGCACCCACAGCTTGCAGCGGGTCTGCTTCTGGGGCAATGCTCAACTGTATTTTTGGAGTTTAGCACGTTTAAGACAACAAACTGTTAGCGCACACTTGACAAAGAACCTCAGAATAGAAGGACTTGGGAACAGGGAGGTGCTCTGTCAAGCTGTCAAGTTCTTTATCATATCAGCGTAACCCTCACAGCAGCACTGCTACGTCGTAGGGCAGCAGCTGACGGCTCACAGATGCTGCGAGGCTCTGTCCTGGACTGGCTCCCTGGGGACACCCTGGGACATGGGGACAGAGTCTTCACACCTGCACGTCCTGCCAGCCCTGCCCTGAGCCTCCTTGTGCCATCCTCCTCCCGCCTCCCCCACCAGGCCCAGGCATTCTGGTGTCCGGCCTTGGCTCTGCCTCTGGATTTCCCACATCCTTGTGCTTCTGGCCTTGGTTTGTCCCTTCCTTGCTGAGCTCCTGTTTTGACCCTCCAGCCAGAGATGAATCTGCAGCTCGGCTGCCAACGCCGCCTTCGGAGCAAGACCCTCCACTGGGCCAGGAAAGGGAAATCCCCAGAACTTTGTGATATGAAGAGGCATTAGAGGCAGAACAATTTTGAAAAAAAGTATCATCCTGTGTACCACACGCCCTCAGGAACACCTTTCAGATCTTCTCCTCTGCCTTCCTGCAGCTAATCTGGTGGGAAAACAGTGGTTTCATATGCCCACTTCACACTTGCACTTATTTTCTCTCCTAGGTACAGAACTTCGTCCTAATTAACACCTTCCTTTTGCTAACCGACAGTCCCTGAAGCTCAGAGCTCCACTGAACATTCCCTAGTTTGCTCCACATTCTGATTTTAGTACCCTGCCCAGTCCTGCTATTAAATGCAAACCAAAGGAACAGTTTACATCAGCAGTGCCAGCCACAGAGCAGGACATCTTTGCTTTTGTTCTTAATGAAAACAGTTTTTGGAAAGCCTCTGAGTGCTGTATCATGCGAGAAGTGGTGGCATGTGGCAGTAAGCTAATGTATCTCACCATGTGCTGCCAGGAGCCCTGAGGAGGGTCTCCTGGACAAAATGAGAGATGTTACCATTTAACTGGATGCAGCACCAAGGTCGTTGCTCTACCATTATGTCCGGTCCTGGGTGAAACCAAGACATTGAGCAGATGTGCCACATCCCTGACCTGCTCGTTTAATTGTCTCCTGGCACCTGGTATGGAGTGCAGTGCTTTGTATTTCATTGCTTGAACTCCAGTCGATCCGCCCAGTTCGGGTTTCGTGGCCCTGCGTGCAGACAAGCGTGTGCCGCAGTCCCTGCCTTCCCGGACGTCTGCTGCCTCCGTTCCATGGGGATCTTCCCTGTCCCGCTCTCCCTTCCGTAGAGCGAACTGACCATCCCTCTCCGTCAATTAAAATGGAGAGGAGCAAAGGGACAGGAGGACATCCCTGGGACAGAGGACATCGCTCCGTGGAGCTGTGCCAAGGTGTTAACAAGCTCTGGAAGTGCTCCACATCCATCCTCCGGCG